TAAAATATATCTTCCTTAAACTTTCTAACTTAGAGCTTTATYAAAATATGAATTCGAAAAATTATGATTATGAAGCGGCATTCAATGGTAGACGTGACCTTGACCTTCCAATCCAATATCTATGCGATGACAACAACTTATTTAAATAGATTGTTTATCATAAGATTGAGTTCTTTGAATGAGCAAAACCTTTAAATATTTCATCGTTATTCACTGAAATAGTTTTTAATACTTACAATGTGAATCAACTAACTCAAAATTCTTATTTTCTTAATATTATCAAAATGAATGAATGAATGATTTTACTCACTGAACTAAGAAGTGTTGTAACAACCATGTTACTGAAGGTGCTTCCCATTTTGATTGAGGTTTTCTTTGGGTTTTTTACGATGATTATAGCTATCTTTGACTCCTGTGATAAATGAAATGTGTTATTAACACTAATCTTGTCAATATTTTACACCTTTTTACGTTTAAATGCTGTAACTTCATAACGAAGCAAACGTAGTTAAGTTTCCCAAGTCATGGTGCGACTAGCAACTATATAGACACAGTCTTTTCGTCTTTTCATATAGTCTTATCCCTTAGAAAAAACATTAAACTTACTACACATTCTTCAACCACAAAGCCACTTAATACTAAAGATTCTCACCTGATACGAATGCTTGAAGTTTAATGTATTTTCATCGTCATTACATGCAGCATTTGCATGCCAAATTTTCAGCTAAACCAGGTGGATGATATTACTAGTAGAATACTAGCGTGGACTGCGTCGGTGTTTCTGAATAAAACAGTAGRAACTTGTAGATAAATTGAATCACCGTAAAGAGATTAATGGGAACTGACGCTTCGGAACTTATTAGTCCTTCGTCGGAGTAAGCTAAAGCGACGCTAAATCGTCTTTGTTTTGTTTGTTAATACCTTTAAACCTTTGCTTTATAGTTTAGATTTAAGTAATCTTAGAAGATCGCGTGTAAGAGAGCCAAACGAACGGGATTATCCCTATATTGTTCCACTCTGTCTGCCGCGAATGTCGCCAAGCCAAGAAAGAAAGAAAATGGTTGAAGGAGTTGATGAGTAAGCAGTTTATATTTTTGTGCAATCTCGTACCCAGAGCCTGCGGCGAAGGACGGGGGCTCTGGGCATGATTCTTGGGCATGATTCTTGGGCCTCCTGTGAACACTTCCCTTATGGTTCTGGAAAGACTGGAAAATACTTTTACTTTGAAATCATCATTGCAATAACATCTCAATATTTACCTCCTGATTTACCTCATATGCATATATTTTTGTGCATAACGAAGGCTATCCATTAGATTTCAGCCCTCGAAAACATCGTCGATAAGATCGTCGATACACGTCATCTCTTTCAGGGAGGGTCTGCTTTTGAGCTTCTTTACGGCAAATACGAATTGTTTACAGTTATCGTGGAACTTGAAATCTTCATTTTGTGAAAGTTGAATA